CCCTCGCCACTAGAACACTCAGGGTCCCTCCAGGGGACTGGGCTGCGTGAAATGACCACACAGAGACAGAGAGACCTTTCTTTGGGGTCCTGCGATGGCTCCCCTTACCTTCAGGGTCCGTGGAAAGAGAGGGCGAGAGCGCGTGCTGACCCCTTTATTGAGGAGAAGCCGTTCTAATGAGGCCAGAGTCAGGTTTTGGGGGGCGGAGTCTAGCTTGGTGATGTCCACTGTCTGCAGGCTGACTGACACCTGGGTAGGCCACCCCAAGGGCAGAGCAAGAAAGGGGACACACAAAGGGCGTTTCCATGGAACATTCTGTGCCAAACAGGGCACAGGGGTAACATCACCAAGGAACGGGTGGGCGGAGCTCAGTCCGTGGGGCGACGCGTCCTCAACCTCCGGGACCAGGGCAGTGTCCAGGTCACTATAGTGACGGTCGGAGCCTCTCGCTTCAGGATGGAAGGCGTGGGTCACTCAGAGGCTCCCCAGTCCCAGCCACTGGGGAGGCAGAGACGGGAGAGCCCAGCGTGAGGCAAGACTCTGCCTCAAAAGGAACAACCACGGAAGGGGACGGACGGACGGACGGACGGACGGAGGAGCTGGGTGTCGCCCAGGGGTTGGGCCCCTGCGAGAGCCGGGGGTGCTGGCCAGGGCTTGCAGGCGGAGGCAGACCTAGTCCTCCAGGCAGGGAAGAGGGCGAGTTGCCCCCCCTCTGGCAGAACTGGTGCCCAGGCCAGCAAGGCCGTGTTTTCTTCCAGTGCGGGTGCCCCACCCAGGGCCCCTTGCATGCCAGGCACGCGCTCTGCCACCAGCCTCTCACGGCCCTTGACAGTTGGCGGAGCTGTCCAGCCTGCGACACTAGGGAGGCCAAAGCCCACCACCTGTAAGAGCTGAGCCAGGCCGCGCTGCCCTCTGGCAGACTGTCCCCTGTGGGGCAGTCGGGCACCTCTACTTAAGTGGAACCGGCAGCTGGTTAACAGATAAATGATCATTTGTAAAGTTATTAACGAAAAATTGATAGGAGATTCCAAGTCTGCCAGTGCCTAAGCGTTTGGGAAATGGAGGAGATGCTGGCCGCGAGATGACGTCAGAGCGCACGTCTGTGGGGGTGCCCTGGGTGGGCGGAGGTCTGGGAGAGACCACAGAGCCTCGCGCTGACGTGGGGGACAGCGCAGGGCGGACTGTTAGTGGCAGGCACGGGAATGAGGTCATGAATGGAGAAGGTGGGAAAAGAGAACAAGCCAACTCTGCAACTTGCAATAGGAAACTGATTAATTAACCTAGTGGCCGAGTTTGCAAAGATGATTCTCCGTGTGAAGGCCTCAGTGTCCACCTCAGTCCCCTTGACGTGTCTGTGCTCAGAAACAGTCCGAGCCCTCCTTGTGCCGTCCGTGGTTGCCCACCTGCCCAAGGGCCCCCACTCGATGCCCGCGGGCTGGGCCTGGGGCTAGCCAGGGTCCCACCCCCCAGCTCTGCAGTTCTGTGCTACCTTTCCAAGGCTGGGGCGGGGCCTGAGGTTCCTTATGGGGTTGCTGGGTGGGAGAAAAGGGAAGACGGTTTCTGGCAGAGGTCAGGCAGCTTTGAAACATGAACCTCGTTCTTTTTGTTGGTACCAGGGATTGAACCCAGGGGTCCTTAACCCCTGAGCCACATCCCCAGCCCTTTTTGAGACAGGGTCTTGCTAAATTGCTGACCTCTATCTTGCAATCCTCCTGCCTCAGCCTCCCAAGTCACTGGGTTTACAGGCATGCACCACTGCATCTGGCTAAATCTTTTCTCTCTATAACCAAATTATAAAGAGGGAAGGTCTGTTTGGGCTCAGGGTTCAGAGGTCTCAGTCACGGCCAGTTGGTTCCCTTGTTCTTGGGCCCGTGGTTGGTACATCATGGTAGTGTGCGTGCCTGGCTGACATAGTCATTGTCTCATGACCAGGAGGTAATAGAGGAGACTAGGGTCCCACCTCCCCTTCAAGGACATGCCCCAGTGGCCCAAGCCCTCCCACGGGGCCCTGACTCTTAAAGGCCCCTCCACCTCTCAATGGCACGGAGTTAGGGACCCTCCTTTAAGACATAGGTTTTTGGGGACGTGCCAGACCTAACTGTAGCACACGCAGACACTGCGGCCACAGGCGTGGGAGGCTCTGAGCAGCTGCAGAGCACGAGTCCAGGGAATCCGGATCTGCTTCTGGTGGTTCTAACATCTCCCCCCGTGGCAAGTCCAGAGGAACAGGCTGGCTGGGGTCAGCTATAGAGTTCCTGAGTGCCCTTGAAATCCTCCTGCCCGGTTATATCTGGATCTCCTTCAGATTTTCAGGTTCAAACCAAACTCATTTAGAATTTTACTACTTTTTAAACAAAAAAATTTTTTAGTTGTCAATAGACCTTTATTTTATTTATTTACATGTGATGGTGGGATTTGAACCCAGTGCCTCACACATGATAGGCAAGTGCTGTACCACTGAGCTACAACCCCGCCCCAGGATTTTACTACTTTTTAAAAAATCAGTTAAAAAGGATTCAAAGGGGCTCACAGTCAGTGGCAAGAGGGTGTCTACCAAAAGGTTGGGTTAGGTAGTCAAGCAACATACCCCTTCAGTAAGGCTCCCTGACAGAACAGACAATCCCAAACCCAATGTGTGGAATCCAGAAGAAAGTGTGAAAAAAGCAACTTCTAAGGAGCATTTCAAAATAGAGTTGGGAGGCCATTGGGGGACCAAGGGCTATGCATGTACTAAAGGGCTACCTAGAAAAGTGAACCCTTTCTTTTTAGTGGCACTGGGGACTGAACTCAGGGGCACTCTATTTTTTATTTTATTTTATTTTGCACCAAGGATGGATCCCAGAGGTACTTAACAACTGAGCCACATCCCCAGATCTTTTTAGTTTTTGAGACAGGGTCTTGCTAAGTTGCTGAGGCTGGCCTCAAACTTGGGATCCTCCTGCTTCAGCCTCCCAAGTGGCTGGGATGACAGGTTGAGCTGGTTGGGAAAGTGAACTCTTCAGCTGGGCATGAAAATTAACAGGAAACTGATTTTGAACCAGGTCAAGGTCTGTGAAGCTGTTAACATCTCTCACTGGGGACTGCAGCTAGGCAGTTGCCACTAATGACCAGTCACATCCACACAGCCTAGTGCCACTAGATTTAGCATGAGGATAGCATCTCTGCACTTTTCTTTTCAGGCAACTTGGGGAATTTCCTTGCTCCTCTCCTTCCCTTGAGCATTCACCCAGAGTCCTCTCGAGCTATGTTATTCTGAACTGCAGTTCTCAAGCCCAGAGGAGGTTTGCTCACAAGTTTCTGAGTTTGAACTGACAGACAGGTGTATCAGAAGCTTTGAGACAAGCTTTGAAGTGGTATCCCTGGTATCAGGGCTTCCAATTTTGTGCAGGTTCACAGGATTCTAAGGGAGGTTAATCACCAGATTAGCCAATGCCTCAGGGTCCACCAAATACTGCAAAAATATGGAAGCAAACTTGGGTATCAAGAAGAGATGGGATTTGGGGCTGGGGCTGTAGCTCAGTGGTAGCGCACTTGTGTAGCATGGCGAGGCCCTGGGTTCGATCCTCAGCACCAATAAAAACAAACAAAATAAAGGTATTGTGTAAAAATTAAAAAAAAATGAATAAGTAAGTCAAATAATGGTATTGTGTCCACCTACAACTAAGATTTTTTTTTTTAAAGAGAGATGGGATTTCTCCAGCGTGGAGGTCCTTAATACTGGCTGCTTTTTGTTGTCAGGCAAGAAACTAGGTTTTACCTAAAGGAACTGCAAAATGGAAAAGCAAAACCAAAGCAACTATTGTCCCAGGGACATTGCAGCCTTTACATTCTCAAATCCTCTAGGAACACCCTCAAAAGCAAATCTAAAAGGTTCTTCAAGGGTCAGGACCCTGGGGGTGCAGCCCTCAGCTCTTTGCTGTGCTGATCTGAGTTGCTGCCTGTTGGCGGCTGAGGTTTGCGGCCCCTCCCCGGTGCAGCAGGGCTCCTGAGGTCCCCGGTCCTGGTATCCAGCACCAGCTACGAGCGCCGGGGAGTCGTGCGGAGCGTCCAGTGCCCCGGCCCGACGTGCACTCGGAGCCGACTTCAGCCCACGTGGTGATGTCATTGTCTGACTCTGACCCTGCGGGCACCCAGGTCCCCTGTGCCATCCAGTCCTGTCCGGGTTGGGCGTCCCCCGGAGGAAACTGAGTCTGCAGTCCCGTGCACACGTGGTGCCTACGTCCAGGAGGACGCAGAGCAGAGCCGAGCGCAAACCCAGACACAGACGCGGCGACAGGAAGCGCGGCCCAGGCGAACTCCCGGCGCGTCCGTCCTTCGAGCCGCGGTCGGCGGAACCCGGAGAACCGTCCCATCAGAGCAGACGGGGCGGAGCCCAGGAACAATCGCGAGTTTGGGAGCGCGCCCTGCGTACTGGCCAATCAAGAGCTCCGGGAGGAAACCGTCCAATTGAGAGCTCTGGCGTGGGCAGCAGGAACCAATCAGAGGCCGGGGCGGGGCTTCGCGGCTGAGCCGTCCCAGGTGAAGGTGCCCGCGCTGTCAGCCAGCCACTGGGAGCGAGCGCGGGCCCGGGAGGGCGGAGGATGGTGAGAGCGGGCGGCGCCCGAGCCCAGGGGCGGGTGCGAGCGGCCTTGCGAATCCCTGCGCCCCGGAGTCCACGGCTCCGCGACGCCACACCCGGAGGGCGGCGCGGAGCTCTGGCGCCTGGGCCGCGGGCGACAGTGTCCCAGCGTCCGTGTATGAAGACGGTCGGGGCGGGAGGAGCTGGTGGCTAGTTCGGGAGGTGGCGGGGCGGGCAGGGGCCCCGGGTCAGTTTTGGGAGGGACAGCCGAGGAACTTGAGGGGTCAGCCTGGGGCTTTAGGGAGCGGATCGGACCCGGGGTGACCTGCCCTGCCGCCTGTCCAGATCAAAGCCAGACTTGAACGGAGAGGCTGTTCGGAAAGGCGGTGGCCGGTAGAGAGGGTGCTCCTTCTCGGAATCCAGCAGGGAAGGACAGGCGAACATGAGCTGTGAGCGGGAGGCCGGCGGGGACAGGCGGTCAGGTTACAGTTTTGTGCTGGCACCACCCCACGTTCCCCGAGTGACGATTGGTAAGAGGGGATTGGAACACTGGTCGAAGCCCGTGTGAAATAAAACATCCAAACTTAGCCCGCACAGACTTGTATCGAAAAGGATTATTGGGGGACTGGATGTAGGAGACAAGGGACTGTGGCCACATGGGGAGGGGGTCTCCTGCAAGCGGCAACCATAATACTGCGGTAGGGGCAGAGGGCGTACTGGAACAGGAGAGTGTTTCTCTCGCGAGGTCCACAGCATCTGAAGACCTGGGTCAGAAGTTTTCCTTCGGGGAGGCCTAAACAAGGCTAGAAAGAGCCAGTCGTGGGAAGACTGATGAAGTCAGGCATCCTAGGCGTGCTGGTCCACCCGCCTGATGCCAGCTGGTTCTCAGGAGGGCTGTCTGCAGGCTCAGGGTGCCCTCATGCAGGCCCTGGAAGAAAGCCAAGGCTTGCCTATCAGACGTTTTGTTCCAGTTGGTCAGCGGGGACCAGCAGTTCAGCTATCCAGTATGTGAGAGAGGGTGGGAATTTGGAGGGTCTGGGTCTGATCTCCTGGGCCCACAAGGCACGACCCTTCACGGCTCCTGTGCTTTGCAGAACCCTTCTCCAAAACACAGGGTGGGATTCCTTTCCCCTCTGCTGTCTCCGGGAGCACACACTCACCCCGGCTCAAGGTCACTGCCAGCTGTGGCTAGCGGCACCTGTCACAGCTCAGCACCAGTGCTTCCTGATCCAGCTCAGCTTCCATTCCTTGTAAATAGCAGCTTCTTTTGTCTTTTCCTTGTCTTAATGAAGGTGGGAAGCTTTTTTGATCTGTTTTTTTGCCTGTTGCTGTTAGATTGTGTTCCAGGGTTTAGCCTGAGTGTGCTTTTGGGGAAAAACGTCTCAAAATAGGAAACATTCATTACCTTTCCATTAAAATTGTAGGAAGACACAGACCACCCCACAACTCAGGAGAGGAAGGTGAAGACTTGGGTGGAAAGGAGTGTAAAAATTGTAGTGACCCTGCCATGCAGGACCCTGTGCCACTTCTCTTTAGTGTCTGAGCATAATGCCCCTTCTGCAAAACACAACCCAGAAAACTGAGAAGTGTCAGTTTGATTCACAGTTTAAATTTGTCAGTTTATCATGAGGGTAAGTAATGAGGATAAGGATAGTGGATGCTGTTTTCTTTAAGGGATCTTGGAGGGATAATACATTTCTTAGAATCTGCCCTCCCCATTCTTGAACATAGGGTGGATGTGTGATTCTGCTGCATTCTGATTCAGACACGCTCGAAGGGCTTAGTGTGAAGCAGGTGCATCACCTGGTTGGGGACTGGGGTCTGAGGACAGTGTCTCAGCTGAGCCCCAGTGGTGCACCTGGGCTGGCTCAAAAGCCTCCCTTGCTGGGGCCTCCAGCCCCTGGTGCAATGGCAGAAGGAGCCATCTGCTCAGGAAAGCAACTGAGCATTGGGGGGCTCCTGATGCAGATGTGTTTGTGGGTGTTTTGTCCTGAGGTGGCCCTCAAGCTGTTTCCTGTGGTTTGGTTTGGATATGCACCAAGTTGGAGCAGTCAGAGTATAATCTGTGCCAACTAAGTAAATCTATGATGGCCTCACTAAGGGAGAAGCTCATGTTCAACAGGTGGTAGGCTTATGAGTATTTCTAAGTCACAACCTGGAGGGAAGGAGTGGGGGTCCTGAGCACCCAGCGGACCGTCTCTGCTTGCTTCCCATCCATAGCGTAGACCCCTGCCCACGAAAATGTAGAATAAAGGCACTGTGTCCACTTAAATAAAAATTAAAAAAACGGGGTATCCCCCCCATTCTTTTTGTTTTGCCACTGACCACACCGTTCACAGTCAGGGCCAGTCAGGGTCTCTCAGCTGGGGTCAGTGAGTCCTGACCCACACAATGTGGAATGGTGCACATGGGCATCCTTTTTTTTTTTTAGTATGGATAGATATTTTGCTCAGCCGTGTCAGTTAATGGGCACTTGGTGGTTTTGGGGTCTGGCTGCTGTGAGATTTGAGCAAGCCACATATGGGTCACCTAACTGGTGATGTCTTCCATCTCTCCCTGTCCTGACTGCCGTCTCAGTCACTGTGAGGGCTCGCCCCAGCTGCCCCTGCCCCTGTCCCCACAGCACCCCGCCAGGGTGCCTGGCATTCCACTTGCTGCCCATTGTCACTGCGCACAGCAGTGTGAGGGCCAAGGGCTCAGGATTCCTGAGTCGATTCCAGTGTCCCCAACTGCCCGCCTCTGCCTTCCCTGCATGACGGGGGGGACCGTGCCTTTCTGAAACGGAATGTGTGATGTTCTAGGACCCAGTGGCCTTTGAGGATGTGGCTGTGGACTTCTCCCCAGAGGAGTGGGCCCTGCTGGACCGTGCTCAGAGGGACCTCTACAGGGACGTGATGCTGGAGACCTGCAGGAACCTGGCCTCCGCAGGTGGGGTGGCGGCATTCCTTCCCTGTGTGGGGAGAATATGTCTGTCTTTTTTCCTTTGGGCTAAGAAACTGGAGCATGCTTGAAGAGAGACAAAAGTCTTCTCCAGGAGGCCCCGTGCGGCGGCTTGGGAGCTGAGACAGGAGGATCCTGAGTTCAAGGCCAGCCTCAGCAGAGTGAGGCGCTAAAACTCAGAGAGAGTTGTTTAAATAAAATACAAAAAAATAGGGCTGGGGACGTGGCTCAGTGGTTGAGTGCCCCTGAGTTCAGTCCCTGGTACCCTCCCACACAAAGAAAGTCTTATCCATGAAACAAAATTTTATATCTTATTGCCGTTTTTCTTAGCAGGTTTTTTTTTTTTTTTGCTGCAAGGGATTGAAGTGAGGGGTCATGTGCCAATGAGCCACGTCCCAGCCCTTTTAAAATTCTGAGACACAGTTTCGATAAATTGCCTTGAACTTGGATCCTGCTGCCTCTGCTTCCTGGGGACCGCCTCACCCGCGTGGCCACAGTCCTGAGGTCCCTGAGTTCTGTAAGTGGGCACAGTCTCCAGTGTCACTCTGGAGCGTCGAAAGCAGCTCTGTGGGTCACTCCTGTGCGTTCCACCGTGGTCAGCCACGTGCGATGTGGCCGCTTTGCTGAAGTGAGCCCCACACTCCTGCCCCAGCAGCCTGGAGCGGAGCCGCCCTGCGCAGGCCAGGTGGTGCCCTTCCCTCCTGCCCTGGTTGTGTCCTCTCTACATGGTGGCAGCCCTCACACCCGCCTGAGCTCCCAGTGGCAGCTGGGGACCGAGACGGGATCCCTCCAGGGTCCCTGCGTATGGACACAGGAGAGCAGGCACCCTTGAGGAGCAGTTTTGCATGAGAGGTGTAGGGACCAAGTCCGCCCTTGGTCCCTGCTCCTCCCGTCCCTCCTCTCACCGCCCCTGGAAGTGGCAGGATTGGGCTGTGCCTCTTGACTAAGGCCTCCCTTGGTGCTGTCAGCGTAAGCCTCCGACCATGTGGAGCTGTCTCACAGGGAGCAGGCGGCATCCGAGCTTTTCCTTTGCCCTGACAAAGCCCAGTACCAAGGTCCTCCCAGGCTTTCTGACTCCCAGGTTCACCTTACAGAATGGGGTTTCCCGGGCTGGGCTGGGCTCAGAGGCAGAGCGCTCCGCAGCATGCATGAGGCACTGGGCTCAACCCTCAGCACCACGTAAATGTAGGATAAAGGCACTGTGTCCACTTAAATCAAAAATAAATATTAAAAAAACGGGGTATCCCTCCCCCAATTTCTGGGTCAGAATACAGAAAGAAATGTACCTGGGGTCTGTTATCTCACCATTCTTTTCCCAAGAAATAATTGTGTCACCGATTATCCCAGGTTGTGGCTTTCACACTGAAGCCAGCGGGTCACGTTTTCAGCAGTATATTTTGAGAAATGGAATATCCAGCGACGATGTTACAAGAAGGGATTTCTGGTCTGCTTTTGGAGAAAACTGGAGGCTCGATGACCCTGGCGATGACCAGGTGCAGGACAGGTGTTGGAGGTGAGTGCCCTCGGGCATGTGAGCATCCTCTCCTGTGGTAGGCTGACTCAGGACGAAATGAAGCACGTCGTCCTTGCTGGACAGTGGGTGCCCGTGGAGGGTTTTCATAGGAGTGCTTTTATCAATGTGATGTTGACACTGAGAATCTGGAACAACTCGGCCCCGCCAGCAGGGGCCCAGGCAGGAAGTGCCATTGTGAAGGCTGCCGTGGGCCTCTGGCTGGCCGGTGAAGCCCAGGGCCCAGGACCCTGAGGCAGCAGTGCTGACAATAAGCAGGAAGATGGCGCAGAGTAGCCAGAGCCATCGTGCACACCTGCTGATGGGCTGCAGCGGCATGGGACCTGCATGCGGTTTAACAGTGTGCTTCCTGTTTTGAACAGAGGCAGTGTGGTGGATGGCCTCTCCAGACAGACGGAGGGTCAGCGTGGAGACGCCGTGGGCCACACTGAGCGCAGGCGTGTCCCCAGTGGAGGTCAGCCCTGGGAACGTACCACGCGTGCAAGGGCCTCCAGGAACCAGCAAGCACCACACACTGGACACAAGCCTCATCCTTGTGAGGAACGTGAGCAAGCTGGCGGCAGCCCGGGTCCCCATGCGAAAACTGACACTGCAGAGAGACCCCACGAACGAGGGGACACCGGGGGAGCACCGAGTGAAGACGTGGGAAGTCCCAGTAGCAAACAATCTCTGAAATGTAAGAGATGCGGAAAAGTTCTCTCTTGCCCCTCATCCTTACGGGCTCACGAGCGGGGTCACCGAGGGGAGAAAAGGCACGCGTGTGCCGTGTGTGGGAAGGCCTTTCGGTATCACTCCTACCTTGCGCGGCACGCCAGGACGCACACCGGGGAGAAACCCTATGAGTGCGCGCAGTGCGGGAAGGCCTTCAGCTGCCCCTCCTACTTCCGCGACCACGTGCGGACACACAGTGGGGAGAAGCCCTACCGCTGCGCGCACTGCGGGAAGGCCTTCAGCTGCTACTCCTCCTTTCGCGATCACACGAGGACGCACACTGGAGAGAAGCCCTACGAGTGCACCCGCTGTGGAAAGGCGTTCGCGTGCTACTCGTCTCTTCGGGAACACGGAAGGTCACACAGTGGGGAGAAGCCCTACGACTGTGAAGAGTGCGGGAAAGCCTTCAGGTACCCCTCGTCCCTGAGAGCGCACCTGAGGACGCACGCGGCCGGGAAGCCCCATGCGTGCGAGCAGTGCGGGAAGGCCTTCAGCTGCGCCACCTACTTCAGGAGGCACGCCAAGACCCACAGTGGGGTGCGCCCCTACCAGTGTGCCCAGTGTGGCAGGGCCTACCGCTTCTCGTCCTCCCTCCGCATCCACGCGAGGACGCACACCGGGGAGAGGCCCTTTGGCTGTCAGCAGTGTGGCAAAGCCTTCGGCTGCGCCTCCTCCCTCCGAGAGCACGTGAGAACCCACAGTGGGGAGAAGCCTCACCGCTGCGGGCAGTGCGGGAAAGCCTTCAGCCACCCTCAGTATTTCCAAAAACACATGCGGTCACACAGCGGAGGGAAGCCCTACGAATGCACCCAGTGTGGGAAAGCCTACCGCGGCTCCTCATCCCTGCGCGTGCACATGAGGTCGCACACGGGGGAGAGACCCTACGAGTGCAAGCAGTGTGGGAAAGCCTTCAGGTACCTGGCGTCCCTGCAGGCCCACAGGAGATCACACGCTGGAGAGGAGCTTTGAGAACACAGCGGCGTGGGACAGGCGTGGGACGTTGCTCCCTCGCCCTAAAGCCCTTGGGATAGGAAGAACACACCAGGGAAGACCCTATTTAAGTTCAGAAGGGGAAACCTGGGAGGGAAGTCTCTCCACTGTTACCAACGTTTACCCTTCAAGTGCCTCGCCTTACCAGGGCTCCCAGATGTTTAAGTCTCTTCTTGGTGTTGCTGACCTGAACAGTGAACCCCCTGTTGGGTGCCATCACTTGTACTGTGTAGATTTCATTATATAAGACTTCAAATAATCGGGCGTCCACGTAGACTTGTCTAGTACACGTTATGATTTTGGACCTATGGGTGCTACCGTGTACAATTTGATGTGATTTTACATTAGAAGCTTTCTCTGTATATTACTTGATGAAAACTTATTTATTCGTATGCAGTGCTGAGACTTGAACCCCGGGCCTCACAGCCCTCATGAGAAGCTTTCGATTCCTACTTTTGTTTCCAGTTTGAGGTCAGAATGTGACTGTTGTTGTTGAACTTGCTTTTCTAGTCCACAGGTGCAGGTACTGGACACACACACACTGTCCACCTTTCTCTTCATTCTTCATTATGGAAAGAGGCGTCTTCCTTTGCTGCTACTGGACTCATGTAATGCACCGGAATTAGTAATCCTGGAAGGTTCTTCAAAGAGTCTCTTCCCAACTGATTTGTGATCATATTTTGATCTTGACCGGATATTGGACACACTGCATTGCGTTGAGAAGACAGACCCTCTGGCATAAAGGTGAAAGTTCATGTATCAGTGGTCCCACTGAATTGGCCATCAGCATGAATAAGGCTGGAAAGTGTATGTCCTGAGTTCACGAGAGGACAGCGTGTGAGTTCTGGGATGTGGAAGTGGATAACCAGTATTCTCAGTAGTTTTTTTTTTTTTTAATATTTAGTTTTAGGTGGGCACAATATTTTACCTTTACGTGGTGCCGAGGATCGATCCCAGTGCCTCACGTATGCCAGGCGAGCGCGCCTCCACTGAGCCCCAGCCCCGGCCCTTTGAGTAGTTTTATTGGGAGACAGGGTCTCATCAGTTGTCACCCATTTACCACGGTGACCTGTGGTCCTAGGTCAAGCACATTTTTCTGATTATCTCTGCCAATCTAGAATGGCGCAAAAGCAAACACGGCACCCCTCTTGGCACGCGCTGCAGACTGTCCACACACCTCGCGTCTCGTGCCCTCCTGGGCTCCGCGCTCCCAGGTTCCCCTTGGGCTGCAGCTCTGTGGTTCCCTGACCCCCCCACAGCCCTTCCCCTCAGCTCTCCTGTCACCTGGTTTCTGCGGTGAGCACCTGTGTCCTGACAGTTATGTCGGAGCTGAGAGCCTGTGTCCTTGTAGGGCTGCTGAGGCAGCTCGTCTAGCGGATCTGTCACTTCATTCCTGTTGAGAGCCACAGCCAAGTCGGAATGGCCCCTGGCATTTTGCCAGAGTAATGGTTGAGAGGCGAGCCCTTAAGATGATGCTGGATTGATTCAATTGTATATAGACCCCTGCTGTCCACCTCAGGCGCCCGCTACTTTGGAGTTCTCGCGGGAATTCCTGGGGAGTTCGCGTTGGTTGGTGAAGTTCCAGTGGAGGGTGGAGGGAGTTCCGGTTGGTGTGGTGTGCCGGAGAGGAGCCGCGTGGGTGGCGTTGGGGAGAGTCCCCGGGGAGTGTGCGTGGAGTGCTGGTGGAGTTCAGCAATAAAGTTTCCTGTTTGAACATACAAGTGCTTTGTGGCGGCTCGGTGATTTGTGCCCAGCCAGACTGCGGCACATTCCCAGCAGGTAGTGGTGTCATTAGTGCCGGTGGCTTCAGAGCCCATCACAGATCTCTGTGACCTGGAAAGTCAGAGCCGAGGTGGAGGACTTGATGGCCTTTCTCTGGGGTCACAGTGGTTCACACTGGTTTCCTTGGGAAGGTGCCTTAGCACTCGAGGCACTGCATTCTGCGTGTGTGCAGAGGACTTGGCAGGCTGTAGAGCGGCAGTCGGCACCCACTCCGAGGCCTGCGCTCACCGTGTCCCATGAGTGTGCGAAGAACCTCGTTGCACTCCTCTGGGAGACACTGCATACCGTGCCCATCGCCCGATCATCTACCGCCTGGCCACGGCGTAAACTCCGCTGACTGTGGCCCCAGGCGCCTCACATGGCAGCCTGGATCCCCACCGGGTCCCCTCTCCTGTTTGGCAGTACCGGGGCTGGGTGCAGACGTCACGCACGCTGGGCAAGCGCTCGGTGCTTTTCATCTCCTCTTCTGGGACGGCCTCAGAAGCTGCAGGCTGGGCTCCATTTGCAGTCCTCCCACTCATCTCCCAGGAGCTGGGATGGAAGCCTGGGCCACTGTGCCTGTCCCCTCGTTTGACATGTTGATTCCAGATGATGACAGAAACAAGACAACACCAGTCACTCTGAAAAGCAAGTCAGAAGTGTCGTGGAGTTAAACAGGCACCTGAGAAAGACTCCGGAAGGTGCCGCTTCCTGATAGGACTTTCAGAGCAGCCCCCGGTGGAGAGGCGGGGGTCGTGACCAGGCAGTGGGTGGAGGGACACAGCTTCTCGGTGACGAGCGCACGTCCTGCCAATGAGAGCCCCACGGGGTGAGGAGGAGCTGGGGGTGCTTTTTAGGTCTTGGGTCTGGAGGCAGAGAACACCTGGGGCCCTCAGCCAGGGCGCTCACAGCCCTGGCACAGCCGGGCATGTCCCCCTAGAGCTGCACCCCAGGCTCTGGGCATTTTTCTGAGCAGCCTCTTTCTTTTTCTTCTTTTTTAACATTTTAGAATTTGTTCTGGTTAGTTACACTTGACAGCAGGATGCACTTCAGCTCACGGGACACAAACGGGGGCAGCTTTTCATTCCTCGCTGCCCGGCTGTGGTCCCCCAGGAGCCTCTGTGGTGGTGTGCTGGTCACCGTCTTCCCTGCCCCCGTGCCCCCTCGCTCTCTCCCCTTTGCCAAAGGAGGCCCCAGGCTCTGCCCTGGCACCAACAGCCACAGTGCAGCCCAGGCCGTGCCGGGGCTGCCTGAGAGCAGGACTGCACCTAGCAGGGCCAGGGCACAGACCGCACCCGTCACAGAGGCTGCCCAGCTGTGTGGACAGTGCCACACACCCTCCCACACAGCGCCAGTGTTCCTTTGTCAGAGTCCAGCAGAGCCATTGCTCTGCAAGTGCCCCCCGAGCTGAGCGAGGAGCACCAGCAGAAGTGGCGGAAATGACCAGATCCAAGGCATCCCAAGCTTATCTGCTGAACTGTCACGGACTACCCTGAGCCCAGCATGGCGCCCACCGGCCAGTCCTGAGGAGCTCACCTCCAAGGCAAGTGGTTGGGTCCAACACTGATGCAACACTCTGACACAGTGGCCATCTGTCTTCATGGGACCGTTTTGTCACCTGGCTTCCTGAATTTGCTGTGTCCTAAAGGTCTGCAGCCTTCTGGGCAGCATTGGTGAAAGTTGTGTGCATGACTCACTGTGGCTACACCGCCACCTTTGTCGTGACCTTGGCACAATAGAAAGGCCCTGGAGTCCTGGGCGTCGGGAACTCTTGCAGGGCTAAGAGCAAGAAGAGCCCGTTACTCTCCTACAGAAAACCCAGGGGGCTGGGGATGTGGCTCGAGCGGTAGCACGCTCGCCTGGCATGCGTGCGGCCAGGGTTCGATCCTCGCACCACATACAAACAAAGGTGTTGTGTCCGCCGAAAACTAAAAAATAAATATTAAAAAATTCTCTCTCTCTCTCTTTAAAGAAAAGAAAAGAAAACCTAGGAAGGGTCGCACTCACCTAGCACATGTGAGATGCTGGGTTTAATCCTTAGCTGCACAAAAAAATAAAATACAGGAACTGTGTCCACCTGCCACTAAAAAAAAAAACAAAAAGTATTGAGAAAGTTGACATGTTACTTCCCGAGATATTTTTAATTCTTTTAAAAAGAAGAAGGAATAGCGATGCTGCCACATTGATGTCCCTAGCAGCTCAGTTCCCAACAGGTAGCTGTGGGGCCAGCCCAGACGCCACTCAGTGGACGAGTGGACAGGGAACCGTGGCACACACGGAACACGACTCGCCTTTAGAGGACAGAATCGTGGGTGTGCAGGTGAGTGGATGGAGCCGGAGGGCACCAAGTCAGTGAAGTTAGCCAGTCCCCAAACCAAAGGCCCAGTCCTCCCTGGTAAGTGGGTGTGACCCACGTGGGGGGTGATGGAAGAATGGTGCAGCCCTTTGTTTTGGGGCTGCGCCGCGCCCAGCCCTGGGCCAGGTGATCTGAAGTAGTACTTCACACACACAATGTACTTGGTCTGAGCACAGCTGGACATGAGGAGTAGCTTCTATAGTCTCCAGCAGAGTAGGGACGATTTTGAATGTTCCTAACACAAAGAAATGACAAATTTGCACTGCAACAGATATGCCAATCACCCCAACCTGACCGTCAGATACTCTATGTGTGTACTGAAATCTCCCACTGCACTTCACACATCGTCCGCCCAATTACTAGGTGTTAATGCAAAATAGACATTTTAAATACACAAAGCATCAGAGTGTCACGTTAGGTAACATCCCTTTGCATGTATTAATATGTGATAGCTTACTGTGAATATTTGTCATCTGTCTTGATCTTCAAAAATAGACACTGGATGTTCTGGGCCTAGACTGCTAGGAGTGGTCATCCAGGCTGGGAACCAGGGAAGACGTCTTAAAGGTGCCCTGATCTGCAGGACTGCCATTATGATGATGCATTTCTTCCAGCTCCACTCTTTCTGGAACATCTGCCTTAATAGCTGGTGAGTTGGTGTCTGCTAGCTTTTCATTGCTGTGTCAAACTAACTGAGGAAAACCAGGTCGAGGAGTAAAGATTCACTGGGGCTCCTTTTCAGAGGTTTCAGGCTGTGGTCGGCCAGCTCCATTGTTTTGGGCCTGCAGTGATGCACATCATGGCGGGAGGCGTTGGTGAAGCAGAGGCGCTCACCTTATGCGGGGAAGCAGAGGAGGGGCCAGGCACAAGATACGTCCTTCTAGGGCATGTCCCAGTGACCTCCCTCCTCCAACTAGGCCCTGTCTTGTATCTTATTTAGAGACAGGGCCTCACTGAGGTGCTTGGCCTCTTGCTGAGGCTGGCTCTGAACTGCCATCCTCCTGCCTGAGCCTCCCGAGCCCCTGGATTACAGGGCTCCGCTGCGCCAAGCTGGATCCACACACTTGTGATCACTCTGTAAGAGGTCACTGGAAATGCCACTTGCTAGATGTCCTAAGTCTTTACTTGCCTGGGGTAATGGGCACCCCTGCCCGCTCCGCCCTCCTGGGAGCCTTCCCTTGGGGCCGCCTCCGCCCACCCGGCCCTCCCCACTCAGGAGGCGGCCCTCACTCCCAGAACGGGGAGGGGCATGGAGCTCGCCCTGTCCTCCCTGGGAGGGGGAGGGGGAAAGGACCGTCCTTCTGAGGCCAGGAGCCAGCTGCCTAGGACAGGGCCCTCATGGACGTCACTGCTAGCGTCCCCCTTCCCCAGGCGCGGGCAGTCCCCGCTCCTCGCAGGACGCTTTCATTCGGGGCCAGGAGAAGGTCATCTCTGGTGACAGCTGGCCGGATCTGAACCGTGACTATCTTCATCTTCTGCCGTCGCTGTTTGTCCCTCCGTCGGGGGACTTTGGACGACAGGCCGAGGCCTGCGCAGCACTGCGGCCGGAGGTCCTTGGGCCACGCGCCCTGTCACCGAGTCACGTGGGCGGCCGCGTCCTCCTCCCCCTGGCCCCGCGAGGCTCCGCAGGTCTGGCCACCATGGGCAGCGCTAGGCCAAGGGTGTTGCTGGGTCTGCGGCCGCTGAAGGCGGTGCCGGGGCACGGGGCCAGCTGCCGCTCGATGGTGCCAAGCGAGGACACAGAGGGCCACGGCCGCCCTAACTCTCCTTCCACCTGTCAGAGTGACAAAGGGGCAAAGTACTGATGGCTGGGCTTCTGGAAGGGTCCCTGCCACATAATGTCCCAGACACTTGGTCCTCTGGCTCCTGTCCCCAGTGGCTTGGGCCAGTGGGAGGTGGGCACCTATTGCAGGAGAAAGGCGAGGACCCGTCCAGCTGGCCCCCCCAGACTCCTGGGGGACGCCCAGGGAGCCGGCCTCGAGGCGGCAGCAGAGCCAGAGGCCCCCACCGGCTGAGGTCCTGCACTAGCCAAGCCTCCGTGGGGACTTGTGAATCTCCCCATGACCGCCCCGACAGCCAGGGGCCAGGAGCTGAGAACCAGGCAGCCGTGGCCAGCAGCGGCTACCATGAGACACCGCGAGAGCTGGGGAAGGAGGAAGGCCCAGCCCAGGGGGACGGACGGTCCCTCTGACTGGGGACTGAGCACGGCCACCTCACCACCGAGCCACAGCCCAGCCACTGCTTTTTTTCGGGACAGGGTCTGGCTAAGATGCTGGGATCGTAGGCATGTGCCCGTTCCTGCCTACATTTGTTTATTCAAGTAAAACGATATAAAATTGAAACACCTGAGAACAATACCTTACTAAAATAATATGAAAGATTTCAAACTGTAAAATAAAAATGAAGTTGTGCTTGTGCTCTTGTCACATACATAACAACTTCTATGAGATAATCAATAAGATGGTTTTGTGGGAGCCACTACACTGGGGAGACTGTGGAGATTTAACATCCAATTTTGCTTCTAAGAATGATAAAATCTGCAATATTTATCTGGGTTTTTCCAGTGGAGCTCTTGATGGTGACAGAAAATTGAAATTTAAGAAACATTTTTGAAAAGAAATAGATATGAAAAACTTCCAGGAGAAACCTACCCTAATGACAAGCTATAGCATGCTCTTTGTCATCTATTTATTTAGGTGCTGGAGATCAAACCCAGGGTATTTGACCACTGAGCAGTCCTTTTAAAAACCTTGTGAGACAGGGTCTGGCCCCCAAACCCGTGGTCCTCCTGCCACCATCTCCTAAGTGCCTGGGATCACAGGCAGGCACCTGTGCCCAGCTAGTGTGCACTTTATTTAGGAGTACGCACCCTTAAATATCATTTCTCATGAAACTTGTTAAAGTATTCGTGAAGCTTTCACTTTCTGACAGTTTAAAAGGATTTAATTTTATAATGATGGTAACTATTTGCCTTTTAAAGGTAAAACACAAATCCAACTGGCACACTGTGGTTTGGGGTTTTAGTACTCAGGACTAGGAAACAAAATCAAGAAACACCACAGCCGTGCAGAGACGCATGATGTACTAGTCTGTTCTCCACTAAAAAGAAAAAGAAAATAAAAACCAGAGAAAGAATGTCTTGGTTTAGAACCAGGTGTGGTGGCTGGCACTCACCTGTTATCCCAGCAACTCAGGAGGCTGAGGCAGGAGGATCGCATGTTTGAGGTCAGCCGCAGCACAGTGAGGCCTTCCGCAACTTAGCAAGACCCTGTCCATAAAGGGTGTGGGAGGCTGGGGGTCGGGCTCAGTGGTGAAGCACCCCTGTGTTTGTGTGCTGTGAACTGATAAATACAATCAACAAGAGTGTAAGTGCTACTCTAATAATATTTAAGTAACAGAAAAACTTAGTATATAAAAATCAAACCTATTGTTACATTAAAAATGCATTTGAAATCACCATGGGTGCAGCAACTTCAAAATGAGAAAAGAGTTAAGTGAAGAAGAGCATCAACCACTCCCCTCTGCAGTATAGCTGAGAGGAGCACTTCCTTAGGTCCGTGCAAGAGTGGGATGCTCGTTGCCCATGGGTCCATTTTAAGCATGAGAGGTTAACAGTATGTGGGTATTGACAGTATGGGCTATTGACAGTATGTGGTATTGAGACAGCACGTGGTATTGGCAGTATGGGGTATAGACAGTATGGGGTATTGGCAGTATGTGGTATTGAGACAGCACGTGGTATTGGCAGTATGGGGTATAGACAGTATGGGGTATAGACAGTATGTGGTATTGAGACAGTATGTGGTACTGACAGCATGGGGTACTGACAGCACGTGGTACTGACAGCACATGGTATTGGCAGTATGGGGTATTGACAGCATGTGGTCTTTTTCTCCCGTGTACTGAGGTTTTTACAGCATTGAACATGAGTTTGCATGGAGTGACCCCATATTTGTTACAATTACTGATTTCTGGTGATGCTCTTGGGTGTTCTGCGGGTGACTGATGGCTAGAGCTCCTGAGTGTCACATGCATTCCCAGGCGCCTGCCCAGGGCGCCTTCTTGGCCTGGTTTCCAAGGAGCCACCTGAAGCCACTTCCTGCGCTCTGCTCTCCCGGGTGGGCTCCCCCATGACGATCAGGGGTGGGGCCGGCCGAGGCTCCCACGCTGCTCACGTTCATCGGGCTTCTCTCCAGCATGAGGTCCCGGTGACCTTGACACGACCTGGGATCAGGGGTGCCTTCCCTCCTCTCCCACATTCGTCCGACGCGGGGAGGCCACCGGAGGCTTTTCCACACCGACCCTGGGAAGGGCCCCCGCAACGTGGGCCCTCGGGTCCCCTCACGGGCCCGGGGGGGCCGAGGGCTGGCCCTCGGCGGCGTGCATGGCCCCGTGCGCGCGCAGGGTCTCGGGCAGGCTGAAGGTCTTCCCGCAGCGCGCGCACTCGTAGGGCTCCTTGCGGGCGTGGGTCATCTGGTGGCGCTGCAGCGACTGCGGGTACTTGAAGGGCCGCCGGCACTGCCCGCAGGCGTACGGCTTGGCCCCGGAGTGCGTCCGCAGGTGGTTCTGGAAGGCCGACGGGTAGGCCAGGACCTTCCCGCACTCGCTGCACGCGAACTCCCTCCGAGCCCCCGCCGGGCCCGCGCCGCGCTGGCCCTCGGCGCGCTGGCCCCCACCGCGCTGGCCCTCGCGGGTGTCCTGGGCTCCGTGGTGCGTCTTCCTGTGTCGCGTGAGGGACCTGGAGTGCTGGAAGCCCCGGCCGCACTGCTCGCACGCGTAGGGCTTCCCCCCAGGGACGGTCCCCGCGGGTCTCCGGGAGGCGCGGACAGAGTCCTTCCCACGGACCTCACTCCTACCCGGCCCCTCGGCCGCGTGGTCCCCCGTCGCCCACGCCTGGCCCGCGTCGCTTCCGCCTTCAGTGCGCGCCGCGAGCTGTCCCGTGAGGGAGGCCAGAGGAGGGAAGGTCCCCGCGCGCGGCTCCTCCCCGCTGGCTTTCTCTCCGTGGCTGCCCAGGAGCCAGGGGCAGGTGCAGGCCGGTCCGCACCCCCGACGCCCACAGGGCCACTGTCCACAGGGCCACCCGGCGGGCCTCCCGGGGCAGGAGAGGCGCACGAAGGCTGCGGCACAGCCGGGGCCCCCGCACGGCCTCGGGTCAGGAGCACCTCGCGCACACTGGCCGGGACGAGGGCCGGGGCTGAGGGGAGCCTCGCCGCCTCCACTGAGGCTGTCCTCCACACGACCTCTGCCAAGAAAACGGGAAACGTCTTATAGCGCGATGACAATGGCGTTAGCAGGGAAGTGTGGAACTCTGCCTTTGCATTCAGCCTCGTGAAGTTTCTATTCTGAACTGTCTAAAACGGGGAGAGACAGGCTCTGGAAGAGGCCCAGGGATGTCATCACTAAACAGCTCTGACACCGTCCGTAGATCAGTGCGACCCTCACATGGCACCAGTGTGCAGTGTGTGACAGTGACACACCGGTCCCCACACACGATCATGTCAGGAAGGGCACTGATGGGTGTACAGTACTGATATCTGTCCGGGGCTGGGCTGTAGGTCCTCTAGGGCTGGCCTAGTACCGGGTGGCACTGGGTTCCACCCTCAGGACCACAGGAAAATGGATAAATAAATAAAACGAAGGCACTGTGTCCATTTACAACTAAAAAGATCTTTTAAATATATATGCAATATGTATCCGTACAAAATAGGCTTCCCTCTAATAGTCTATGAATTGTTTCATTTAGTATTTAAATAAAATTCAAAAAATTTCTCATTAAAATTCCTACAAATCAACAATTTAGAACCGTGAGGTCCCCAGACACGAGTAACTCCGTTTTACTGCTGGGACTCCATCTTAACCCAAACTGGAATTACAAACTGCCAATAAAAGGAGGATCACAGTACCCATCCCCCACCACCCTCCAGGCCCCTCGGTACAGAGCTCTGCCGTTCCCCAGCCACCTGCCCCTAGGTCCACCGAGCCCGCTGTCCCCGAGGTCATTTCCAGCTGGTTCTAGTGCCTCCTCCAGAAGATCGAAGCTTCCGAGGGGCGCTGCGCTGCGCCCTGCAGAAGGCCCGCTGCAGCCATTCTCTGTCAGTACCCTTCCCGGCACAGACTGTCAGTGTGGAACTGTGTGTCCAGCTTCCCTGGCAGGACTGCACAGGTCTACGAGCTCCACCTTGTAATGGTTTTCCTTAAAAAAAAAAGTCACGACCTACTGGTCCCCAGGGACACCCTTTCTCTTACGAGTGCGACTCACCTCAGGTGTGCCCCTTGGGTCTCAGGCTCATCTTCCATGGGATGGTCTCCAGAGTTTTCTAAAATGTGGGCATAGGAATTAATTCTTGTGAACCTTGCCATTTTATGTTCCTCAGATATTTCCCCTACACAAAATCTGCTGAGAAACTCATGTCCTGGCTTTAAATGGAGCCTCATAACTGAAATAGAAAAAAGCAAACACACTGGTGTGTGTGTTTGTGTGCATGCATGTGTGTGTGCATGCATGTGTTTATGTGTGTATGTGTATGTCTGTGTGTGCATGTGTGTATGTGTATGTTATGTGTGTGCGTGTATGTCTTTGTGTGTGCGTGTATGTCTTTGTGTGTGCATGTATGTCTATGTGTGCATGTGTGTATGTATGTGTATATGTTATGTGTGCATGTATGTCTATGTGTGTATGCATGTGTGTATGTGTGCATGTATGTTATGTTTATGTGTATTATGTGTGTATGTGCATGTCTATGTGTGTATGCATGTGTGTGTGTGTATGAGTATGTGTATGCGTGTATGCGTGTGTGTGTGTATGTGTGTGTGTGAGAGAGAGAGGGAGAGGGGAGAGACTCGGAATTTAACCCAGACCCTCTACCACTGAGCTACACTCCAGCTCCCTTCCCCACTTTTAAACTTCTGAGGTAGGGGCTGGGCGCTCGCCTGGCACGCGTGAGGCGCTGGGTTCAATTCTCAGCACCGCATACAAATAAATACAATAAAGGTCCATCAACAACTAAAAAATACATTGAACAATTTTGAGGTAGCGCTCCACTAAGTTGCCCGGGCTGGCCTTGAATTTGTGCTCCTCTCCTCAGCCGCCTGAGTGCCACCGTGCCCAGCTAAAACGGGAGAAAGTCCCTCTGGGCAAAGGAAGATGCCGAGGCAGCCGCAGTCTCAGGAGGGTCAGTGCAGCCCAAGAGGCCAAATGGCATCTAGTTCACTCAACAGTGAAATCATCACAAGATTTCAAACAAGAGACCCGAAGCCACCTGCGAAACCTACACTCCCTCCAATGACACCGAAGAAGCTTCATCTTTAATCAAGGCAAAAGTAACATCTGTTTAATTTGTGTATTTTAATTGTCACAGAAGAACTCTGAGGCTTAGCTCTGGGCCAGCCGACCCGTCTGTCTGAGATCCCAGCGTGTCCCCATGTGAGGTCCAGCCTCTGGAACAGGCTGAGACAAGCAAGGAACGTTCACTCCCCACAACTGGGGAGAGGCACCTCACCTACTGAGGCCAGGTTCTGCCAGGTCTCCAGCATCACCTCTCTGTGCAGGTCCCTCTGAGCCGAACTCAGCAGTGCCCACTCCTCCAGGGTGAAGTTCACAGCCACGTCCTCAAAGGTCACAGAGCCCTGAAAGAGCCAACGCGTGGTCAGGAGGCTGAGTCCGAAAGCACTGCCCAGCAGGACCTGGCGTCCAGGAGGTGGGAACAGATTCTCTAGTTTCCAGCGTGCACCACGCGGTGCTGTAAAAGGCCAGGTCTCCGAGTGCCCCTTTCTCTCCCCCAGATCTAGCCAAGGGAAGGAGTGACGAGAGCTGGCTGGACTGTCTCCTGTCACCTGGAGAGCCCTGCCTTCTCCCGGGTGCTGGGAACACAGGCTGCCTGCGGCCGAGCGGTCCCGGGCGAGCAAGCCCAGCTCCCGCGCCTCCGTGACCCGACCTGCCCCGCCCTCCCCGCAGCCCCGGGCAGAGGAGCATCCACCCAGGCCGCTGCCCTTGGCAAAGCAGCAGGAAGGACAAGAGAAGATCCTCCAGCAGAAGCCTGGGGGACTGTGTGGAGACGCTCCTGACCGCTCTGCTGCCACAGGGCATCCTGCGAGCGCCAGTCCACCCGTCAGCACTGGACCGGGAGAAGCCCCTACGTAGCCCGCACCACTGGACCCCGGGAGCGTTTCTCAGCAGGCCTCAAGTTCCACATCCCTCTCTGCCGTCTCCTCCGGCTCTTGGCACAGGGGGCTACGGGCAAATAACATAAAGGCGGATGGACCTTTACTGTATTTGCTTTTTTATATTTATTTTATATTTTATGTTTCTATGCACTGCTGGGAATCCAACCCAGTGCCTCACAGGTAGGAGGCAAGCGCTCTGCCTCTGAGCTACGACTCTGCCCCAAGAGAACCAGAATCTTAGTAAACATGATTAAGTGTGCAGCACTCTGAGTTACTGCCCACATGCTGCTGCTGTTTTTAGAGTGGCTGGGAAGCAGCTCAGTGGTAGAGGCTTGCAGACCACTTTCAAGGCCTCAGGTTCAAACCCCAGTACTGCAAAAAATAACAAAGATAACAGACTATAAAAACTAATTTTAATTCCTAAATAATAATTTGAAATAATGTCAAGTTCCAAAGTATATCTAATAAATGACATGAAATAACAACCAAATGGGAAGATCATGAAACATTAAGATCATTAAATGTTGCTGAATGACACCAAAGCAGACCCAGGAGAGACAGCCTCGTTCCAAGAGCAGCCCTGCGTGGCCACACTGAGCACCTCCAGCACACGGGGGGTCTGAGTGGACGGCACAGTCGGCCCGGGCGTGTTTTTGATTTTATGGAAAACTGCTGAGTACTGAGGTGAAGGACACATGCCGGGGACAGCCACATTTTCTACAGGACTGAGGAGGGAGGGTCCCTGAAACACACCGAGGCCTTCACTCACGATGGTGGCCAGGAGAGGGTGACGACACAGAAGGACAGAGAGGAATGGAAGGTTCTGAGTCAGCACCAGCTGCGGATGGTCCTGTTTCTGGGGAAGAGCAACCACTGCCCGTGGCAGTGGACATGGTGGGCGCTGTGACACACAGGGCAAGGGCCATGGTCATCTGGGATCAGCAATGTCTTCACCATCTCCAGGTGACCAACTCAGTGCAGACGGGCTGAATGACAAACAAGGCTCTGGGATCTTGCAGCCCAGTGTCCTGATGGCCCCGGAGCACAGGGTGTTAGGCACATGGGTACACCCAGAGTGCCAAGCTGCAAAGAGGAGACCACCCAGCTTCGCCCCTAGGAAAAGCCCCTCCATCAGCATGGAGTCGAGGGACAAAAGGAAAACCTCCAACTCAAGAAGATCCTCACTGCACCCGCCAATCAAAAGGAAGCCGGGAGAACACCAGGCGAGCAGAGGCCCTGGGAATGAGCACACACGGGCCGGTCACCTGACACACGGAGGACTGCTGCCGCGGATGGAAGTGCCCAGACTCAAGGGCAACCCGAAACACCCCTCAGCAGGCACAGGAGACTTGCTGCACCCGCCAGTGACCACCAGGAGACCCTGCTTTATACACTACATGGACAAAAATGAGTGCGAATCCCAAGTGTTGGTGATCAAATGGAAGAAATAAAAACATGATGGTGGGGGTCAACTCATACATACACTCTATTAGCAAATTTCTAGGAAATTAAACTTATCCAATTTACAACCCCATATTTTTTCCTCCAAAATTTAGAAACTGAAGATGCATTTTGCATATGGAGACCAAAACAAAGATTGATGTAGGAAAGATGAGGCCAGACACCCAGAGAATTTGCAGGAAGCAGGTTTATTAAAGCTCTAGTGGTACAGAGAGGAAAACTGCAAAATTCTTTTGACATTTATACTCAGTGAGTGGTTACATAAGTTATTTTTTTTTTTAAGAGAGAGAATCTTTTTTTTTTTTTTTTTTTTTTGTGGACACAAAACAAAACCTTTTTTTTTTTTTTTTTATGTGGTGCTGAGAATCGAACCCGGGTCCCGCAGGCGAGGTGAGCGCTCTACCGCTGAGCCACAATCCCAGCCCTACATAAGTCATTATTTTGGGTACTGGGGATTGAACTCAGGGGCACTCCACCACTGAGCCACATCCACAGCCCTATTTTTTTTTTTTTTTTTAATTTAGACACACGGTCTCACTGAGTTGCTTAGCACCTGGCTTTTGCTGAGGCTGGCTTTAAACTTGTGGTTCTCCTGCCTCAGCCTCCTTCTTGCTCCATATTCTTAGGAGGGACAGAAGGGAGTTTTTACCAAGAAAAACAGAAATAGTAAATTTGGCACAGCAACCAGCCTGACTGCAAAGGTAACTGTTAAAAGAGGAACCTTGCAAGAAAGGGACGCTTCAAACCACAATGAGACATTCTCTAACAATCCTGCTGGCAGGGAGCACTGTTATGATTATGGTAGGGGCCTCTCTGGGGTCTTACCTCAGAATGACTACAGTAGTACTGTCTATGACATCATCGAAAAATAAACGTGAAACAACAAGCCCATAAGCTCTAGAATCAGTGAGTTAACAGGATGACCCACAGCCTCCGCAAATCCTGTGAAAGAGGCCAGTGTGTCTGGGTGGGGAGGGCATGGTTAATATTTTTTAAACTTAATGTTCAAACCAAGTGTTTAGGAACAACCTCGAAACAAACCACTTGCAAGCTTACATGCACCAGGGTGGCTCCTGTGAGGAGAAACTGCTCCTGCTGCGGCTGCACCAGGCTGGAGGCCATCCCAGCTCACCTCATGCACCGTGGGCTCAGCTGGACGCAGCCTCACCTCCCTGCCCCACACCCTACTCCTGTTTCACATCACCACTGACAACCTGGGTGGCAAAAGACCCCGCCCCAGGGTCTGAACACAACAGCAGAACTACTATTTCCAAGGTTCAGGTAGAGAAGGACATGCTAAGGCACTTTTTATGTCGTTCAGTAACTGGAAACTGTCTCTATGGGAAAACAGGCCTCAGCTAACTGCAAATGCACCGGCACTGAGCGCGCTTCAGCACTGAGGTCCCATTTTACAGGACACAGTCACCTGATGCCCCCACTGGAGGAAATGCAACAGGGACAGTTGTAAACGCTGCACCTTGTGGGAAGAGTACTGTGTCGTTTTTTGCTTTTTTAGTAGTTTTTAGTTGTAGGTGGACACAGTACCTTTACTTCTCCCACGTGCGAGGCCAGCGCTCGGCCACTGAGCCCCGCCCCGCCCCAGAGTACTGTTTTGGGGACCACAAGACCTCTCCACCTGCTTCACCGTGGGGGGCCGAGCGCCTCCGCCGCCACCGCGGTGGGGGGACCCTGGGAGGCCTTTCCGCGGCTGCGGTCTCGGACCGCCCAGCATCACCAGGCGGCGCGTCCTCGGCAACTGCGAGACACCCGGAGACGCGGGTCCACGTTAGCTGAGATCTGAGGCCCCCAAACCAAGCCCAGGGGACGGTGACCAGGGCATCCCAGCCCGCCGAGGCCCCGCGCCGACCATCCCCAAACGTCCCCTTCCCCACGCGGGCCGCGAGGCGGACGCCGGTCCTCCGGCTCCGTCCTCCCGGTGTCGCCGGCCCGGTCGGGGGAGACCTGGGGCCGCTCCCACGCGCCCAGGCTCCGGCCGCCTGCACTCACCATCCTGCGCTCCTCCGCGGCCACGCGACGCTGCAGCTGAGCGGGGAACCCTCACGGGGAACCCTCCCGGGGACGCCGGGGCCGCGCTCTCCGTCCCCTGACTCTGATTGGACCGCGGGTCTCACGCCGGACGCTATGATTGGCGGACCCCCAGTTGCCGACCCCCGGCTTTCTGATTGGACAATAATGCAGGGCTCCCGCCTCCCGAGAGGCTTTCGATTGGACAGTGGCCGGACCCCGTCGCGTTGAGTAAACAGTTCCGGGTCTCGGCCCTGGCTCCCTAGGTCGAACCTGGGCCCCCATCCAAAAAGGAGCACGCTGAACGGACGCCGCGCTGCGGGCAGAGGCCGTGCCATCTTGGGGCCGCGGTGAATAAGCTCGCAGGAGGACCTCGCGGGGCGGGCTGGGCGCCTTCCCGTCTCCTGTCGCTCAGAAGGCTGAGGAACTGTCCAATCCGGAACGAGAGGGGCGTGCCCAGAGAACCACCCGGAGCGCCGAGGGGAACCCTAACCAATCCAGGGCGCCCGAGGCGGGTCCTTGGGAATCTGTCCAATCGGAGGTGCAGACGTCGGAAGCGCGGCCCAATTAGGGGCGGGGGCGCGGCTGAGCGGCCCTGAGGCCGCAGGTGCGGGTCAGCGGTGACCTGCCCTGGCTGCGGGGCCCAGGAGGGCGGAGGGCGGAGAACGGCGGCGGCGCCCGAGCTTGGGCAGGGACTGCTGGAGTGGAGTCCGCGCGAGTCGGTGGCCCGGCGCTCCGCCCTCGCCCGCGGCGGGACCCGGGGCGGCTCGGTCCCCGGAGCAGGTCCTACTGCCCCGGGCGCGGACGCAGGTGTCCAGGGCCCCTGCCAGCGCGGCGGAACGGGTCCCTCGACTCCCGCCGCACCATCGGCCGTTCCCGCCGCCTCGCTGCCCGTAGGGCCGCGGTAGTGCCCACCTGGACACGGACGGCGGGGTAGACGCTGAGACCCAGGCCTCCATCCGCTGCTGCCCTGCACGGTCCTCGGTCCAGCCCGACCTCCCGACCTCCCGACCTCACGGCTGCCCAGGTGGCCGGGCCCCACTCCACCGCTCTGGGCGACCCGCCTGCTGCGCACCCCAGACAGCGCGGTGGGGTGACCCGGGCGCCCTGCTGGGGGAATGCCCGACGCCCCTTCCTCTTCAGGACCGCGGTGGACACGGATGTCGACCCCCATTCCCCGCCCAGAGACTCTGGAGGTCAGCTCCCCGCGACCTAGAGGTGCTGAGGTAGTGGGCAGTGGTGCGTGTCCGTGGGGGGGCGTGGCCGGCCTCGACCTCCGTCAGTTCAGCGCTGTTCCCTGGGTTTGGGTCTGAAAAGATTCGTTCCCTTATTGGACCCTCAGTTTTTCAGTAAATATAAAAAACTATAGAGTTTGAAGATAAAAATATGTCCAAAGGGGTGAATTTCAGGTTTTAAAAAAAATTAATGTTTCAGCCCTCCCTTGGTTAAGTGTTCTCCCCCTTCTTCCCCATTACCACCTGTCCCCCATGCTGAGTGGGATGTTTGTAAAATGTATTTTTGTTGAATATTATAAAATAGTGTTCAACAACCCTGAAGATTACAGGCAAGTCATATGAAAATATTCTAGACTTTTCTATGTGAAACAACATCTGTGCAAGAATACGTGATATACGTACAGTTTGTAGAAATATTAAAAGTCCATCATGAAGGAAAGGCCAGCCTTGATGCAGAACAGGCTTTTACCTTGGCACCCCCCTTGAAATGAACCGGGTGTGGGGTTCCTGCACTCTGCAGATAACATTTTAAAGTATGTGGTATATATGTACACACACGCAGAGCATATGATTCATGTTACACATAGTCATATATAGAATTCATATATCGGGGCTGGGATTGTGGCTCAGCGGTGGAGTGCTCACCTCGCACAGGGCGGGGACCGGGTTTGATCCTCAGCACCACAAAAAAAAAAAGGCATTGTGTGTGTCCATCTACACCTAAAAAATAAGTAAATAAATATTTTTTTTAAATTAAAATTCATATATCAAAAATAATGCGTATTTAGTTATATAATTGTATGTGGTTTTGCACACTCGTGTGCATTGTTCTATGTCTCTACATGTTGTAAAAGCAAAGAACAATCCAGGTATCAATGTGGAGTATTTCCTCAAATGGTTGTTTTAACGTTATCCTTCAGGTGGCCCCGCAACTGGGAATCGGCTTGGAGTCATGCACTACGTAGGGATATGTCCTCCTGTGTCCCCCCGCCTCCCAGTTTCTATGTTTGACTTGCGTATTTATTGCTTTCCAACTGAATGTTAGATCCACGCAGTGCAGAACTCTTCTGTTCTTCAGGGTGGTCGCCCTCGTGTCTGTGTTCACTAGACTTGTGTGATTGTAACCTGAATACAGGAGTCCAGGGAGCCAGGGGGCCGTGTTACAGAGCTAGTCTTGAGTGGAGAGGAGGCTAGGCTGGAAGAGGACGCTCCTCTGCCTCTCCACAGTGTGGGCAGATCTAGCCAGCGCCTCACCGGGGGAGTCACAGTGCTGTGGACAGCAGAGGTGTGTGGTGTGTGTGAAGGAAGGTGGTGCCCTGAGTGCAGGCTTTGTAGTCACTGACCCCAGACCTTCTGAGTGGATGGTGTCACTGTCCCTGCATTCCCTCGAAGGCAAGCTGATTCTACATTGGCTCTTCAGTGTCATAGGCATGTTGGAGCTGAAGTCTGTGCACCTCATACTGTGGGTGCTCAGTCGATGGCACACCTAACAATCAGTGTGGGAGAGAGTGTCACAGCATCTGATGGTTTAAAACCAGGAGTCTTGGAGTTTCCAGGGCCACACCTGGTGTCAAGAGCCACTGGGAGGGTTCGTGGGACACTGTGGAGGGTCTTGTGGTGCGACTACTGAGTTCAATCCCCAGTGTCTTCCCCCACCCCCCGAATTACACTTCAGCCGCTTGTGGTGGTGCAGGCCTGTCATCCCAGGGGTTTGGGAGGCTGAGGCAGGAGGAGTGAAGTTCAAAGCTGGCCTCAGCAACCTAATGAGACCCTCTCTCAGAATCAAATATAAAAAGGGCTGGGGATGTGTCTCAGTGGTAAAGTGCCCCTGGGTCCAGTCCTCACTACCCTCCCCTAAAAAGATCATCCCGTGTGTGGCTCATGCCAGTTATTCCCTGGGAGCTCCTGGCTCACCACCTACAGCTCTTGCTGCTAGTGGATGTGGTTAGAGGGGACTCCACTCAGAGAAAGACTTGTGGACAGGAGCTGCGTAGCCGACCACACTCTTCTCCAACTGTGGGGCACTCTGGTTTCTCCTGCGTGAATCTTCTTGGGTGATGGCCAGGTTGCAAGCGACTAAGACACTCAGGGTCACTCCAGGGGACTGGGCTGCGCGAAATAACCACCAAGAGACAGAGGGACCTTTTTCTTTGGGGGTCCACAGAAAGAGGGAGAGAGAGAGAGGGAGAGGGAGAGGGAGAGAGAGAGGCCCCCCCCCCTTGCAAGCGCTGACCTCTTTTATTGAGGAAAAGCTATTCAAATGAGGCAAGGGGTCAGGTTTCAGGGGGCTGAGTCTGGCTTCCTGATGTCTGCTGTCAGCAGATTGACTGACATCTAGGAAGGTCACACCCAAGAGCAGAGCAAGAGAAGGGGACACACAAAGGGCGTTTCCATGGAACATTCTATCCCAAACAGGGCAAGGGGTAACATCACAAAGGAACAGGTGGGCGTAGGTCCACCCATGGGGATGTGGGAAGGCGCGCCCAGGCACGAAGACACAGTCGCTCTAGGCAGCCAGATCACAGAGTGACATGCCACACCCATCAGAAGAGGAGACAACGCGGTCACGTGCTAGTGGGCTCCCACAGGTGAAGTGCAGGAGCAGCAGAATGACAAGGCAAATATACAGTGAAATTTAAAATTCTTCCAAAAGGTGACTCATCACCACACTGTGGTCTGAATCCGTCTCCTTGACAGGAATGTTCAGTGTCATAATAAAGAGGACATCCTCAAGACATTCTTCCTGTTTTATTGGTTCACGGCCACTTACACCACTAGGTGTGTGGCACATGTTTGTACAGGCGCAGAATGTGGCGTTCAGTCTGCCCAGGACCCTTCCCCAGGTCTTCCTTTCCTCTTTCCCCCTGGTCCCTCTACGCCACTGGTCTCCCTTCAGTTTTCTTGAGATCCTCCCTTATCTTTCTTCCCTTTTTCCTCCCTAGTGTTACCACTGTTGGCCGGTGACGAGTCCTTGCTTCCCCCATGTTGAAGAATATCACCAGAGAGCACGCCGAGGCAAGGTCAGAGTAGAAATTAGAAGTTTATTAAAGGACAGCAGAAAAGACTTCTCCGGAGGAAGAAAGGGACCCAAGAGGTGGAAGTGCGGTTGTCTCCCCTTTTTATAGTTTTGGTGATAGAATGTAGGTAGGAAGGCCCGAGGGGTGGGACACAGGTGGGTCAAACAAGTAATCTGGGCAGGAAGGACTTCATTATCACCTCTTGGGATGGGCTATCTCCAAATCTGTTGAGGGCTGTTTCCTGGGTTCCATTAACATTTCTCTGGGGTGGACTTTGGCCTAGGGCCTTTCCGGGGACTTCATTAACATTCCATGAGTTGTCCTGCGTTTCCCGGAATCATGGTCAGCATGGCCTCCATTTTAGATCTTACTCGATATTAGACCCGATTTACCTAACTACACTGATTACCTAATTTTAAATCTGGCTTCACTAGCACCCACAGGACAGGAAGCACAGGACCGCCTTCCGAGTCTGGCTGATTCCATTTAACCTGCTGTTCTCAAGTTCCGTCCATTTTCCTGCAAATGACATGATTTCATTTTCTTTATGGCTCAATAAAAGTCCACTGTGTATACACCACCGTTTCTCTACCCATCCATCCCTGGGTGGCTACCAGGCTGGTCCGTAGTCCGAAAGCCTTAAGGTTTCTAATGTTTGTCAAAATGAGCCTGAACATGCTTTATGTCTTCATTCTTATAAAAGATAATCGCTATCCACTCAATGAAGGGAGTTCCCACTGTTTACTAACACCCTTGGCCAGTCTGGAAACAGTGCTGAAGACGTATTTTGCAGCATAAATATAAATGAATTAATGACGGTAGTCTCATTCACTGCGGCCCGTATCCTTCATTCTGCTGTGGTTTCTATTTTACTTCCTTCTGTCTTGATACAGCACATAAAGCTTACACTTGCTTTATTAGGATTATTTTGTATCTTTTACTAGCTTTACTTAGTACCACACTAAATTAATAAGACTTTTTAAAAGTTTTTACTATTATGAATGAATAAGGAAGAATTTGGTAAAATTGTAACAACGAATTTACTAAAATTTACTAAACTTGAATGCAGAGGTAAATTCACAGAGTTACAAAGTGATCTGGCAATTTATGGTTTTAATACTTTAGGGCTGGGGATGTGGCTCAAGCGGTAGCGCGCTCGCCTGGCATGCGTGTGGCCCGGGTTTGATCCTCAGCACCACATACCAACAAAGATGTTGTGTCCGCCGAAAACTGAAAAATAAATATTAAAAAAATTCTCTCTCTTTAAAAAAAGAAGACTTTAATATATCCTTTCAGGCCATGGAAACTGATGGCACTTGTTAGTACAAACTCATTCCTGCTTCTCAGAAGTTCTTCCTACATCACACAGTGGGGACCCTGACTCACGTGGTGTGCTGTGTGGCTACTTGTCACGAGGCAGGTGATGAGAATTCAGTTGAGACCAGTCTTCAGGTTTTCAACCTCCATCTTTTCCGGCCCATGTCCGCAGCCCAAGCCTCTCTCATGGTGGTGGTCAGGCCAGCCGCAGCTCGTCAGCCACGTGACCGTGAGGTGCCTGAGTGTGCCCTATTGCTGGAACTTTTTGGATAGAGGAACTCAATAAATCACCAGGCACTTCTGTCCACCAGCCTCTGTGCCCGAGGATTCTGCCCAACGTAGGCTAATGTAGGTGTTCTGGGCACGTTTTAGGGTGCTCTAGGCCAGGCTGTGGCGTCGGGTAGTTAGGTGGGTCAAGTGCACTTTCAACTTACGATATTTTCAGCACATGGGTTTATCAGGATGTAACAGAAATTCAGGGACATCTACGTACAACTTATCTGAAAATATAATAGGATATTTCTCAGAAACTATTTTTGTTTCAGTTGCACATAAACAGTAACGGGACACGTATTGTACTCAGCCCCCCCGTCTGTCCCCAGTGACATCTCATAGATGAACCTGGTCAGGGCAGCCTCTCGACACTGCAGTAGGAAACAGTCCAGGTGTTTTTATGGGTGTTATTGACCCTGTCACAGTAGAATCAGGGACACAGAGGCGTGAGAAGTTTCAAGAGAATGAGACGTCCATCATACAAATTAGACGACATACTTCACAAACTGGGACAAAAAGAACCTGGTAGGCTGCATAGACCTTGTAGGGACACCCATCTGGATGTCTCACCTGGAGGTGCATCCCTGAAGGGAAAGCCTTCCGTGGGGACCTGTGGCAGCCGCGACCTCTAACAGAGCGGAAGACAAGCAGCTGATATGCATTTTAAAGATGCTTTTGATCGATGGGGCTAAACTCAGGAAAATGAGCCAGACCCTGGGGTCCCTGCGCACGTATTGCCACGTGGTGGTGACCTGACAGACTGAATAACAGCCTCTTCTAAAGCTCCTGCAAATGGGGCTAAACAGAATTCCAGACAGGGCATCCTGGGAGATGTAGTCCTGGCCATGTGAAAAGGCATCCTGGGAGATGTAGTCCTGGCCTTCCCCTGTGACCCAGACGCTAGCCGTGCCACCTCTGCCTCCAGATTGCTGCTCCTCTCAGGCTTCTCTTCCTGATTCAGACTCATCGTCCAGTCCCCAGCAGGACAAAGAGCCAAGGCATCCTGTGAAAACAACACTTCACACCGACCACTCTCACCATCTCTGCCTGCTACAAGTCTCTGCCGTCGAGTCAACCAACTGGTAAGTGGCTGCAAAGCTCTACAAATAGAATTGTAGTCCTCTGGCCAAAGGTGTTTTTACTGATAATACATACCTTATGTAAGTAAAAAAGTATTAACATCAAAATTGTTAGTTTTCTCAATAAAATAAAAAGGTAGAAAACATGTGATGTTCCGCGTGGAACACAGGGACAGTGAGATGCTAACAGACCCACGTTTCATTGGCCTGATGACCCACGTTTACGGAACCACCAACGACTACAAAAGTCACACTTACAATGTCAAAAACACACTGCAAATTCCTCGTTGGTGCAGCACACTTCAGAATGAGAAAAAGCAACTGAATTTATAGGAAAAACTTCTCTATTGAAATTTTATGTTCTATAAATGAAAGAGCACTTAGAGAAGTCTCGCCCCAGTGTTTATTTGCAGGAAAACTGGAAATTCATTTGATAGGGTTTCACTTTTAGGATGAGGTATTGGCCAAGGCGAGGCCCTAGTTATCAATTTCTCTCCTGGGGTAAATTTTCTGGACTTTTATAGATGACTTAATTTGTGTAGGTTTTTTTTTTTTTAACATACTACTTACATTTATAGGGTTTCTTTCCATGGCGACTTCTCATATGACCTTGAAAGGATTTGGCACAACTGAAATCTTTCCCACATTTTTCACATTTATAGGGCTTCTCTTCCAACTGCGCTGCGTTTTCGGAAGGCTGAGGGCCCCTGGGAGGCTCTTCTGCACCGCCCACACTCACAGCCTTTTCTGCACCGCTCACACTCACAGCCTTTTCTGCACCGCCCACACTCACAGCCTTTTCTGCACCGCTCACACTCACAGCGCTCTCTGCAGTGTGCTTTCTCAGGTGTTTACGCAAGGAAGAGGCCCAGCCCAGAGCTTTCCCACACTTGTCACATCTGTAGAGTCGCTTTCCGTTCTGCAGGATCACACTCGTGGAAGGACAGGAGCCCCCTGAAGGGGCTCCCATCCTGCCAACACTTAGTGATTTCTTTTTAGTGTGCATTCTGACGTGTTTGTGCAGGGACGAAGGCCAGCCGAAGGCTTTCCCACACTTTTCACATTTATAGGGTTTTTCTCCATTGTGAATTCTCACGTGTCTTTGAAAGGACGTGAGCCAGCAGTAGGCTTTCCCACACTGCTTACACTCATAGGGTTTCTCCCCGGTGTGCATGATCATGTGGACGCGGAAGGACTTGGGGCAGCTGTAGGCTTTCCCACACTGCTTACACTCGTAAGGCTTCCCTCCGGTGTGCATCATCACGTGGACGCGGAAGGACTTGGGGCAGCTGAAGGGTCTCCCACACTGCTCACACTCAAAGGGCTTCTCCCCGGTGTGAGTCCTTATGTGTTCAGTGAGAGAATAGGAACGCAGAAATGTCTTCCCACAGAATCTGCACGCGTAGGGCTTCTCCCCACTGTGGGTTTTCACATGCGTCCTGAGGTATGAGGGGCGACTGAAGGCCTTCCCGCACTCGTCACACTTGTGCAGCTTCTGCCCCGTGTGGATTCTCCGGTGCCTCTGGAGGGAGGACGAGTGGGTGAAGACCTTCCTGCACTCGCTGCACTCGTAGCGCTTAGCTCCCCGGGGGCGTTTCCTGGGCGTCTGGCAGGAGGAGCCGCCACCCTCGTTCCTTTTACCCCGTGCACAAAGTCGCTTTATCATATGGATTCTGTTAAAAACGGGGAGCATGTTAATGACTATTAGTGATTCATTTTTTAAATTTTTTGTATCTTTTTTACTTTTAATTTTTTATGTGGTGCTGAGGATGGAACCCGGGCCTCCCACATGCTAGGCCCGTGCCTACCCCTGAGCGGCGCCCAGCCCTGTGGTCTCTCATAGTTACACACCGGGATGACATCCACCTCCGCGTAAGTGTAGGTGTTCTGCCCTGTTATTTCAGAGTAGAATAAACCAAAGGCTCAGGAAGAGGGTTCAGCCATGGTCCATTACGACAGAAATAGTAAGGTCTGGGGATCCGTGATGATTGCTTCCAACCGAATCATCTTTCAAATACTCAATGTTCCAATCATATTAAGAGGATTTCTGGAAACTTCTCTTTGAATAAATTTGGATCCAGCTTTATCTGCCCTCCTCCCTCCCCCCTTCTTTCCCTCCCCCTTCCTTACGTGGAACCCAGGGGTGCTTAATCACCAAGCCACCTCCCAGCCCACCACCTTTGTTGGGTCGATTAGGGACCCCGCTGAGTTCGACCTTGAGATCGCCATCCTCCTGTCTCAGGGTCCTGAGTCGCTGCGATTCCAGGTGGTCACCACTGTACCCAGCATGGCTTTGTACTCTTTTGGGGTTTTTTTTTAAGTTCCTTTTTTTTTAATTTTTCAGTTGTAGATGAACACAATACCTTTATTTTTTTATGTTTACGTGGTGCTGAGGATGGAACCCAGGGCCCCGCACAGGCAAGGCAAGCGAGCCTCTGCCCCCCCAGCCCCCGCCCCCGCCCCGTGTGTTCTAACCTTCCTCCTTACACACTGAGAGTCCCGCGAAGTGACACTCACCTCAGATGTCTCCCCTGTTTGTTGTCCCTCTTCTCGATGCTGTGCTGTCCCCAGGCCTCTCCCAAGAGGGAAGCCCAGGTGTCGTTCCTTTTGAACCTGGCAATTTTCTGCTTATTGGACAACGTTTCCCCACAGGCTCCTGGCCGGGCGGGCCCACTGCGTTGACCGCCGTCATCTGAAACCCAGCCAGGGACAGACAGGAGGGCGGCGCTGAGGCCGGGCCCAGGCAGGAGCTCACTGTCTCCTTACTCCATTGTGACGGGCCCAGGGGACCAGAACGCAGGCCCCTAACATGCACAGAACCACCACAAGGACTCGGGCCAAGACCTCCCTGTGGCCTCAGTCAGTTTTTCTTAAAGAAAAGAGGTCTGTCTGGGCTCGTGGTTTTGGAGGCTGGAGGCTGGGCTGCCACGTTAGGTGGCTCCATCTGGCCAGCTTTGGGTGAGGTCCCCCCCACCGGGTCAACCGTGGCAAAGGAGAGGACGGGAAGCGGTGGGGAGGGCCGAGGGCCAGGTCTGCTCTCCCAGGAAACCACTCGGTGGGCACCAGCCTGTCCCTGAGGCCAGCGTGCTCCTGCGAGGACCGAGCTCTCCTGACCCGAGACCCTGTCCTCCAACACGCTCCCACCCACGAGCTGAGGACCACGCAGCCACACCAGCCTCCACCGGGGCCTGTGAGTGGGAGCCCACACAAACGGCCCGAAAGCCAAACACGAGCCAGTGTGTCGCTCTGGACCGTCCCGGGGAGACCTCTGTGCTGTCCCCGATGACAGTCTCCTTACCCAGGGTCTTCCCCATCTACTTTCCACACTCTGCAAGGGGCTTAGGTCAGTGGCGGGTGAAGAAGAAGCCGCCCTCACCCACAGAGGCCAGGTGCCGGAAGGTCTCCAGCATCACGTCCCTGTAGAGGCTCCTCTGAGCACGGTCCAGCAGGGCCCACTCCTCGGGGGAGAAGTCCACAAGCACGTCCTCAAAGGCCACTGGGTCCTAGAACAAACCATCAATGTGCACCCGAGAGGCGCTCCGCACTGGGGAACCGACTCGGTTCACAGGAGGCTCCCCCAGACCCTGGCTCCCCACGTCGACTTACGGCCCCTCTGTGGACTCACTTCCCCGGGCCGGGATTCCTTTCCCCCCTCCTCCCTCGAGGCCATGCTGGGGACTGGACGCGCCTCACAGGGGAGGTAGAATCCCACCACTGAGCTGCCCTCCCAGCCGGAGTCAGCTCTTCCAGTGCTGAGGGTTGTGCCCAGGGAGCTCCACCAACATGAAACCTTCAGTCTTTGAGTTTTGAGGCAGGGTCTCTCGGTTTGCACACGACCTCAGCTGGCGGTCCTCCTGCCTGAGCCCTGCTCTACCCACGCACAGGTTGGCTTTTCTTGTTTAGAAATGAATGTGGCACATATCAAGGTGCAGTTGGGTGTGACACTCTACCACAGCCGCGGGTACGAATGCCCGAGCCGACAGCTGGGGTGTTCCAAGTGCGCGTTGTCCCTCACCACAGTCACCACGTGTGGGGGTGTGGGGAACTGTCCATCCCAAGCCGAGGTCCGGGCCCCTTACCCGCGCTCCCTGCGCACCCGTCCTGCACGCCCTCCAGCCGGCGGTCTGTCTGCCCTTCCTGCAAGTCCCTCGCGTTGGAGTGGCAGGACTTCCTCTGTCCTGCAGCTTGTAAAGTCCCCGTGTGTCCTTGCCACGTTCCTCATCCCCAGCCACAGTTCTGAGCACGTCCCACACACCGAGTGCGTCTCTCTGCCTGCTGTGGCCCTTCCATTCTTTTTTTTTTTTACTACTAAAAAGTTTAATATGAAAATGTGCGTGACCCGATTGGCGTGTCACAGGTCACAGGCCCTCGGCTGAACAGCCACCACCCACCACGCACACGCGTTTCCAGGCCTCTAACGGGTCGTCTCCTCGGGTTACCACCTGTCCAGCGTCGGGCTGCTGCCCGCAGGTCCACCCTGGCGGGTTCCACCCCGCGGGTTCCTCTATCACAAGATGCATAAAGGGTCAAATCCCAGAAATACTCCTGGTCACACCTGCCACCATTTCATTTCAATGACACCTCCTTGTCCCTAAACTTTTCGGCGAGGGCAGGCGGGCCCCTCCATCCTCACAGGACCGTGGGGCAGCGTCTGGCAGAGCCCAGGATGCACTGGAGCAAGGGAGAAGAGCTTCGTGAAAGTGACACACATTTTCATTTGAAGACTATCGACTCCTGTGGCAAGAATGACCTCATCCTGTCAGTGCCCCACCCGCCACTCAGCACCGCACCAACCAGTCCACCCCTGGTGCCAGGGGGTAAAATCCCAGAAGGCTCCGGGTGAGGCCAGGGGTGAGGCTCGGGGTGAGGCCAGGGGTGAGGCCAGGGGTAAGACCAGAGGTGAGGCCAGGGGTAAGGCTTGGGGTGAGGCCAGGGGGTTTTCCTGCTGCACCCCAATCGACCACAGGCTTCTAAGGATATGTGGAAACAAACTGGCACCAGGTCAGCTGGCCACAGGCAGTCATTACAAGTGCACCAGACTCTACCTGTGCATGAGGACATTTTTGAGGAAAATGCTAATTTTGTTTATTTGTTTTGGTGCCAGCGATTGAACCCAGGGTGCTAAGCACTGGGCCACATCCCCAGCACATTTTTATATTTCATTTAGAGACCGGGTCTCACTGAGTTGCTTAGGGCCTCCTTAGGTTGCTGAGGCTGGCTTTGAACTCACAATCCTCCTGCCTCAGCCTTCTGGGATTACAGGCGTGTACCACCCACCCAGCTGAGAGAAATGCTAAGTTTTTAAAATATTCTTTTTAGTTATAGATGGACACAGTGTCTTTTTTTTAAGAGATAGAGAGGAGAGAGAGAGAGAGAATTTTTTTTTAATATTTTTCAGTTTTCGGTGGACACAACATCTTTATTTTATTTTTTTATGTGGTGCTGAGGATCGAACCCAGCGGCCCGCGCCTGCCAGGTGAGTGCGCTACCTCTTGAGCCACATCCCAGCCCACAATGTCTTTATTCTATTTATTTATTTCTATGTGGTGCTGAGGATGGAACCCAGGGCCTCATGCGTGCAAGGCAAGCCGTCGGCCACTGGGCCACACCCCCGCCCCGAGAGAGGCTGACTTTGATCATGTGTGTCACTTACCACAGTGACTTGCTCCTCCTTCCTTGCTCCCTCTCTGCACAGAGACCTGTTGGAAGGCAGAGCCGGGCAGGAGGAGGACCTGAGGACGCCGACCCCCACGGCCACTGCCTGCACCAGCTCTATGGGCAGCCGTTGACGTCTCCACGAGGGGCCCCTCCCAGGAGGCCTCTGTCCTGAGGCGACCAGGACTCAGAAGGGGACGAAGGCACTGAGACTTCCCGGAGGAAGGGGTCAGAGGTGGCTTCCACGTGGAGGTGACATTATTAGATCATGAGAGCTGTGACCTCATGAGTGGCTGATTCATTGGGATCGACAATTCAAATGCAGTTCTCAGTGGTCACTAGGGGCAGGTGGGTATGGCTGGAGGAAGAGGTCGCTGGGGGCGTGACCTGGGACGAGACCCTGTCCCTGGATCCTCTGTCCCCAGCGGCGGAGCCGGGCGCCCCTCCTGCACTCCCTCCACAGACGGGCTCTGCCTCAGCCCAGCCCAGAGAGAGGCGCCGTCAGTCAGGACTGAGCCTCCGAAACTGCGAGCCCAGAATAGACGTGTCCTCCTCTAGCTTGTCCTGCTCGACTATTTTGGTCACGGTGACACAAGCTGTCCACACATAACCCCGGGGCGGGGCGTCTCGGCGGCATTGGTGAGCCCTTGGAGGTGCGGGGGCTTCTAACATGCCTATTGTGGAAAAGCAGGCTTGTCGTGGATCAGCCTTGTTGTTTGTGCTCTGTTTAAAATAACTGGGTGTGTGGACATTTGAGGTTCGCCCTGGCAGCCTCTGGGTGGGACCACGAGGCGTTTCTTGCAATCACACCCCATTTCTCCTTGCCCTGTGTATGAGGGTCCTCACTGAGCTGAACCAGCGGCAAAGCTCAGACCTGACTTTTGGGTAAGATTAATTCTTTTTTTAAAAACATTCTTTTTTAGGGCTGGGTTATGGCTCAGCAGTAGCGCACTTGCCTGGCATGCGTGAGGCACTGGGTTCGAGTCTCAGCAGCATATATAAATAAATAAA